CAGTTTTAATCAGTTTTTACATATGAAAAATAAAACTAGTTCAAAACTCTAATTTAGCATATGAAAATAAGACTTGTTTTAGTTTAAGCTTTTCTGATTTATTATCTATATTAATTAACAGTATTATTTAAGAATAAGTAATAAATTATACGATAAAAGTATAATAGAAATAAAATTAAAAATTTATTATAATGATTAATTTTCAAACTAATGTGTAAGTGTGAAATTTGTTATATGCATTTTTAATGCTAGATACTTAAAGAATATTTGTATGCTATGAGTCAAGATTTTAGGAAGCGGGTCTGGAATTTTTCAACGTGTGAATGTTTATTGTACTGCCAATCCGGATTGAGAGTATGTAGTTAATATTGGATTTTATGATACATTTTCTTTAATCGGTTAATGATGAACAATATGCATGTTTGCTTATTTGTTATATTCATTTAAGCATTTATTCTGGTTTATTTTAATCGGAAAATAACTATGAAATATTTATTTATATCATTACAGATAAAATAATGAAGATGGTTACAAATAGTTAAGTGGTGTAAAAATGATAAATAAAATATAGAAAGGAAAAATAAAAGATAATTTGATATATAACAAATACATATATGTATATATATATGTATATATGTTAAATAGTTAACTTATAGATAACAATTATTCTTTATCAGAATTTGTAGTTGAATTATTTGGTTTTTTCGTACTGCATGTAATTCGAGTTGCGTGTTGATTGCAGATTTGTGTATTACATTTTTTGACTTTGTCTTCAAATTCTTGATTGACTTGAACAGAATCATGCGGGTTTGTTTTTAATTGGTCTTCAGAATTATTATTATTAGTGTAATCAACATTACTCGTTTTATCAGTGTTATCCATTTTAGCAGTTTCATTCAATTCATTAGATCTCTTGCATTTTAACGATTGGACGTTGTTATCTGAAGTACCAGAGCTTTCTGAATTGTTAGTTATATTTTTGTGAACATATAAAAGTTTAGATCGGGTTGGATTTGTTAAAGGTGATTCAATGTTATTTGGATCTTTTTTTTTTAGCAACAAAGTTAACGTCAATGTAATTAATATCATTAGCGTAAACATAAAATTCGTTCTCTATTATTTCCATTTGTCCAATCACAAAAAAAATTGATTCTTGTGGGCGGATAGTAGTTTTGAGATGCTTGAATCGCGAATTAATATGCGGAAAAGCAATTTTAATTGTATAGTTGTATGGTTGACCAGCATAATCAGATACGTGTGTTTCAATAATAGAATTTTCAGTTTGTTTAATTTAAATTGGCATTCCTTGTGGAATTCTTACTAAAGAAATTTTTAGGGGGCATTTATTGGAATCCGAAATAGTCTCTTACATGGCACACATACTTAAATTCTCCATCTGTAATATAGGATAGATTGATCAGATCTATCTGTAAAA